CCCTTTGTCCATCATTTGAAGATAGACTGAAAAAATTAAAAGCATGTAATTGAGCCAAATTTACAAGGTTCTAAAAGGAGCAAGAAGACATCCCTTCCATCAGTTTGGAGTTCATCTCCTTTAAGAAAAAAAATGGGAAGCCAGGCGCTGGTAGCTCATGCCTGTAATCCTAGCTACTCAGGAGGCTGAGATCTGAGGATCGCGGTTCAAAGCCAGCCGGGGCAGGAGAGACCCCGAGACTCCTATCTCCAATAAACCACCAAAAAACCGGAAGTGGCGCTGTAGCTCAAGTGGTAGAGCGCTCACCTTGAGCTGAAGAGCTGAGGGACAGTGCCCCACGACCGACAAAAAAAGGGGGGGGGGGGATTCTCTCCCTAAGTAAATGTCCCATTTTAGCTACAGAACAGGTTATCAGGAAGAAATGTTTCTTCCAATCTGAAAGATTATTATAAATTATTAAGTGTAATCCTCTCAATAACCTCTGTGGTAATGTCAGCCCAGTGTGTGTGTGTGTGTGTTAATGTCAGCCCAGTGTGTGTGTGTGTACAAGTGTTGAACTCAGGGCCTAGGTGATCCCAGTGTGTGTGTGTGTGTGTGTGTGTGTGTGTGTGTGTGTGTACAAGTGTTGAACTCAGGGCGTGTGTGTGTGTGTGTGTGTGTGTGTGTGTGTGTGTGTGTGTGTACAAGTGTTGAACTCAGGGCCTAGGTGATGTCCCTGAGTTTTTTTGCTCAAGGCTAGCACTCTACCACTTGAGTCATAGCTCCACTTGTGGCTTTTTGGTAGTTTATTGGAGATAAGTCTCAGGTATCAGATACTTTTCTGCCTAGTCTGGCTTCAAACAAGAGATTCTCAGATATCGGCCTCCTGAGTAGCTACGACTATAGACATAAGCTACTAACACCTGGCCCATCTTTTTTTTTTTTTTTTCTTTTTGTAAGCATAAATCTGTTGTGCAAGAGAAGTTTCATTGCTGGGTGTTGGTGGCTCTGCTAGAACACTAGCCTCTAGCACAAAAGCTCAGGGACAGCACTCAGGCCCTGAGTTCAAGCCCCACACTGACAATAAATAAATAAATAAATAAATAAATGAATGAATGAATGAATGAATGAATGAATGAGGAGTTTCATTGCAATACTCTCACACATGTATACAATGTGTCCCTAATCTCCTTTGAGCTGGACCTCTCCAGCTTCTTTACCTTTCTTTCTTGAGATGTGCCTCTGTATGTTGACCAAGCTAGTCTCAAACCCAAGGTTGGCTCAAATGATTCTCCTTCTCAGCCTACTAAGCATCTAGGACTACAAGCCACCTCGGTCACAGCCCAGATCATGGGCCCTTTCTATGATGAATAAACAACATATCAAAAGCAGTACCTTGACCAAAGTGGTGGACTACTGTGTCAGAACACAAATCTTCTCTATGTTCCTTCTTGACACATTAGAAGGAGTATGGTCTGTTCTTCCAGTGACTAAAGTCATTCTAAGTTCAATAGAGAGGTTAAACAAAAGAAAGGTTTGTGGGGCTGGGAAGGTGGCTCAGTGTAGAATGCCTGCTTCGCATGCATGAGGCCCTGGGTTCGATTCCTCAGCACCACATAAACAGAAAAGGCTGGGAATGGTGCTATGGCTCAAGTGGTAGAGCGCTAGCCTTGAGCTGAAGAGCTGAGGGACAGCGCCCAGGCCCAGAGTTCAAGCTCCACGACCAACAAAAAAAAAGAAAGAAAGACTTGTGTCTTTCTTCCTTCCTTCCCTCCTTCCTTCCTTCTTCCCTCCCTATCCCGCCCCCCTCTCTCTCCTTTAAGTAAGGCATGATGGCACAAGCCTTGGAATGACAACATTTGAGGCAGGAGGATCCCAAGTTTGAGGCTAGCCTAAGCTATATTATGGGCTCCTGTTTCAAAAGAGGAAAAAAAAGAGTCTGTGAATGGGGACATCACCAAGAGAAGATTGAGTAGAACTACTTAGATGTAAAGGTGCTTACTTCCCTTTGAAAAGCAAAATCTGGGGAAGAACAGCTTGCTAGTAATTTTACTTCCAACTTAGTCCCTTTTGATAAAGAAGAAGTACTCAGGAGGAAAGAAAAAATAAACAAATAAAAAAAAAGATACTCTGTACCAATCACCTACCTTTGAACTGGTGGCAAGCTGATTCTAGAAATCTGGCAACAGGCCATATCCTTTGATCTCCCTCAACCCGAGGGGGGAAAAAAATCTAATCACAAATTTTCCCACTCTCATTTTTAATGGGATATCTCACTAAGCCAAAACTAAAGATCAGAGTTGGGTGGGAAAGGGAAGGAACTAGAAGCCCAGAAGCCGGTGCTAGCCAGCATTAGAACAGAGGAGAGGGATTGTTCTGGCGGTATGTTAGCAATCTGCCTCTAGGGCAGCTGTCCTCTTGGGCAATCAAAGGCCGGTCTGTGTGAGTGTGCTCCGGGGCTAGCCAGTTTGGCAAAAAGTTGAGGACTCAGCCACCCAATCCACAAAGTGAGAAAAGATGCCTGTTTCACAGCTGGAATAGAGGGTAGGGAAAACACGAAACAAAGAAGAAAAGAAGGCAGGAGGAAGAGGACAAAGGGGTTCAGGTGCTATCTCAGTCTAGAGTTTAAGGGGGAGAAAAAAATCTCAGGAAACTCCCAACCATTCCCCAGTTACATGAGAATTGCCAGTAACTCTCAATACTGAAAATCAGAGAATGGGGTGAGTTTCTCTGATCTGAATCCCATAGAATGCCACCTGGAAGAATGCAATCTAAAACAGTAGGGTCCCAGCAGTACCTGGTTTGTTTTTTTGCTCCTTTCAGGCCCCCAAAAAAACCTGCAATTTATGTGCATTACATGAAAATTATGTAACATTTATCTTTGTCTACAATTCCCTCAATGAAATCCTAGACATCTATAAATAATAATAGTGCACAGAAAACTCTGTAAACTCCCCAATGATAAGAGATCGAGGCCATTTATATAACTCAAGTGCTAAAATGTAAAAGGCCATGGTCAGAACTTGCACCCCCTAATCCCTCGGAGTAGCTAGATGCTTGGAGACCCATTAGACACACAAAGACTGCTCTCTTCTCAGTGGTGCTCGGTGGCAGGGCTGCTCTTCAGGGACAAAGAGATTTCACAGGAGAACCACAAAGACATCGCCCCTCTCCCATTCCCCCACTCCCAGCTTTCTCACTTCCTGTCACAGTAGCACCAGACCACAGTCTCCCAGAAACAAACAAATACAAAGTGCTGGATTCTGGGCTGCAGGCCAACTGCATTCCAGGGCATCCTGTCTACCAATCACCAACCAGAGCTCCCACTTTACCCAGCTCAGTTCCTTATCATGTTCAGGGAAAACAACCCTCCTTCCCTGCCCCAAGCCAACACTGCATAGGACAAAGCTCAGGCCTTTAAGAATCCACAGACACTGTGTGTACAGGCCTAAGAGTGGAACCAGTGAGGGATTTTTAAGATTCCAACTTGCCAAGTTTCTTCACTTTGGAGACAGTGCACTAGGGATCTTAGAGCTAGTGTGGCTATTCTGTTCAATGCAACTACATCCCCAAGAAAACTTCATTGTGGCAATCTGATCACCAACCTGGATCCAAGTCAATGAATTTTCTCACCTGGAGAGCTACCGTAGGACCAATCCTGTCACTCACTTCCACGGTTTTAAAGCCTTTCAAACTCTTTTCCCTGAAAGCGAAGAGTTGATTCCAAAAACAGGCCCCACGGAGAACAAACAATGGCAGCAGACTCCACCCAACAGACAGGCAGTTTATCAAGTGCTAGGGGCAAAGTTCCCTACTTCCCTAGAGAACTGGAGGGAGGAGGGCCACTAGGAATTTCACTGTAAGTCTTAGCAGCTTAAGAGGTCAGGACAGTGACCTCAGCTTTTCCTGCTGGGTTGTAGATTTGCAGCCTGGTTTGGGGGGGGGACAGAGAGTCCCCTTCCTAATTAGAATCCTTAGCTGACTCCAAGAATGGACTAAATAATATTATCTCGCACAGCCCACTGCAGTTAAGCCTTAAGTCCCAAAAGCAAAGATACAGATGGAAGTCAAGTCCTATTAACCAAAGAGCTTCAAAATCTGGAAGACCAAACACCCTTTACCCTATGGTCTCTCAATTCCCTGGGTTCTCCAATCAGAGAAATTCCAAGCAATTATGCCATCTTTCTTCATCTTTTCTTTTTTGACATGCCACACTGAGGACTGAACCTGGAGCCTCCATTTTGCTAGGCAGACAAATACCCCTAGCTTTTCTCCCTTCCTTCATCCTAGTCTTCTCCTCTCTCCACTTTTTGGACCTGCTAGAAGCACTGAGGGCTAAATCCTGATCTATGTAGTACAAGAAGTACATAACGCAAAAGCTCAGTCTAAATAAAATAGCACAACTCAGAAGGATTTAGTTTTTATCTAGATCTGGTACAACCAGGTGGAGAGGTAGGACAGGAACATACACAATAGTCAGCTATTCTAGGGCAGGATAGAAAACAAGACAAAGAAAAAAAAAGCTAACAACATTATGCTTTAGAACAGAACTCAACAGCAGGGCCTATCCACTGTAAATTCTGTCACTGAATCACACAAAAGCAAGTTTATGATCTCCTTCCTAGCACCAAATCAAACTAACTCCCTTCCCCCTCCACCCTAGAATACTGAAAATATAGTTACAAATGTTAGTATTCTTACTCAGTGCTCCCTCTCACAGTCAAGACCAAAGAAATTAGTCAATTAAGGACCACAGAGTGAGATGGACATACAAAGACAAATTACGGGGGGAGGAAGGGACAGAGACTGTGAAAGAGGGGGTGAGATGGACTGGAATACAGAGGAAACTTAGGAAGATGTAACAATGTATATTATATATATACATATATATATATATATTAGTATAACTAACATAAGCTAATAAAAACAATTTAAGAACTAAAATAGTAGCACCTAAAGAGAAAGACTACTGAGATATTAAAAAAGACACACCTCAAATAGAGAACTGAACACACCTATACCAATGCTAAGGCTGCTCCCTCCTGAAGGATGGCAGGCAGGCTCTCTGCATCAAACTGAGCAAGGTGAGACAGAAGGGGAGTGCTGACTCAGAACTAGTCACCCTGGCGTCTGAGGGAGGGAAAAGGATGAGGAGTATAAATTAATCCAACTTAACTTTACCAAAGGTCCTGATTCCAAATTGTATCTCTAGCTGTTTCCAGATACATTTGGAAAAGCCAACCAAAGGAATAAAACATAGAAATCCCTGGAGGGCCCAGGGATTTAAGGGGGGCGGGGGGGGGGGGGGGAGGCGAGAGAGGTTGAATCGGTTTTGCTATCTACCTTCCCATGTCATGCTCCAAAGCAAGCCCCAAACTGAAAAGAATTAGAGCAAGGAGAGGCAGAGAAAAGAATGTGACTAAAAAAATGTAGCTACATTCCAACTAGCCAACATCCCACATAGTATTAAGAGCGCCTGAGAATCCATTCCTGCTACATGACAATTACTGGGAATCTGCTGCCAGAGTTCCAACTCCTCAGCCACCCCTCACTCCAAATACTCTGAAAAGAAGGGTGACGGAGCAGGCTTGATGAAGGCAACAGCTGTTTCCACCAAGTAACCCCCATCCCCTTTAATCTCCCCCACCCCCTGAGACCACAGTTCAGACTCACATCAAACACTTAATACAATTGACTGGTCAGTAGGAAGAAGCCCGGACTAAAATAGCAGGAAGAGTGCCAACTGGCCCCACTTGGAATGCTTTCTTGGCTCAAGTTAAAAATAAGAAAGCTTTGTTACCCTCACTCCCTTCTTGTCCAATTATTTTTTCCTTTCTACAACCTACCCCTCAGGATCAAATGGGTTACAGTTTTTCCCTCTACAACTCCTTGGCTATTTTTAAATATCAGAGAATATAAAGGAGGTGTATACAAAACTGAAAAATAATGTCAGGGAGATTAGAAGACTTCCTGAACAGCCAACCCTAATACAGGGCAGGAAAGAAAGAAAGACAGAAAGGAAGACGGAAAGAAAGGAAAGAAAGAAAGAGAGAGAGAGAGAGAAAAGAAATAAGAGCACACACAAAAGGGTAGCAAATATTATGCAACCAAACATAAACACTGGTGGAAGTCTCTTAAAGCACTAGTAACCACTTAAGAGTACTAACATAACCAGCTCCTACCCCCATCCCATATTCCAAGTTGACCAGAGTTAGTCAGTCAAGGAGGGAGGGAAGGAAGCCAGCACTTCCTTTTCAGACAGGAAGTAAATTGGCCTTTCCTGTCCAGTTCTAAACAAATTGTCCAGCTGAGTTTCAATGCTAACATCCTCTCCCGAAACTGTTCCACAATTTCAAAATGGAGAGAGGAAATGGATATAGTCTACAAGTTTCCCTTGGCCCTAGTAGGCAAGTTCTCTCTACTATGCCAAGTATTTGTATAACCTTCAAATCAATCAGAAATAACATCTGTATATTCAAACAATACCAAGTGACACAGGGGTACACCACTTCAAATTAACCAGATCCTCACCATGGCTACCTAACACGAACTAGTGGTCTTTCCCACTTCTCATTCTAAGTAACCACCTACTTGAGAAGCTTAATTCCAACGTCCAGGTTTTTGTGGTACTCAAACGTGATTGATCAAAATGACCTGGGAAGCTTTTGGAAAAACATTCAATAACCCATACCTCAATTTCTGGAAGGGGGGAATGGGAGTAGGGGGTGGGAAATTCATGTTTTCAAAGAGTCTTCATTGTAGTCTATTGGCAGTCTACTGGAGTAACCTATCCCTGACAACCCTCTAACCACAACATTTTCTTACAAAAAGTGCAATTACAAAATACATTATTTGGTCTCTTTTTACTGCTCACCAGTCAGCTCAGATCACTACACTGCACAGATTAGAGGCTCTTTGAAAGCATGGATTGTGTATAAGCATGGCTGCCATAGCACTGTCCTAAATCCTGTTTCTAAGTTCAGAGCCTAGAAGAGCTAGCTCACTTGCCAGCACTACCCTCTTAGGATTCCTGAGTTGCTTTATAGGAGTAAAATATTCCTGTTTACATTGCAGACTAAGCAACATAATTACTTTTAAAATGTCTTAGTTAAAATTTCCTCCAAGGAACAAAGAGATTATTAGACTGGTTCCATAGCGTATCATAAAAGAAGTCCAAAGTCATAAATGTACCATTTGAGGCCACTAGATGTTTCTAGCCTACTAGATAATGTAGGATAGTGAAAAATAACCAGAAACTCAATTCAAGGATAATCTAACACTTATCCAAGAAAGTCACTTTAACATGAGGTTTTAGTAAGAACAAGCAAGTAGCAAAATGTCTTTTAAAGGTCTATGGAAGCTGGATGCTCATGCCTATAATCCTAGCTACTCAGGAAGCTGACTATCTGAAGACTACAATTCAAAGGCAGGCCAGATAAGTCTGTGAGACCAATGAACCATCAGAAAACCAAAAGTGGAGTTGTGGGCCAAAGTGGTAGAGCACTAGCCTTGAGCAAAATAGCTCAAGGACAGTGCCTAGACCTCATGACCACCACCACCAACAAAACAATAACAAAAATCTATAGAAGCCAGGTGCCAGAGGCTCATGCCTCTACTCCTAGCTATTTTGGAGACTGAGATCTGAGGATCAAGGTTCACAGCCCGGCAGAAAAGTCAGTGAGACTCTATCTCCAATTAACCACCAAAAGAGAAACAAAAACTGGGAAGTGGAGCTGTGGCTCAAGTGTTAGAGCACTATCCTTGAACACAGAAGTTCAGGGATCAGCCCCCAATCCCTGAGTTCAAGTGCCAAGGACAGCACACACAAAGTTTATGAACATTTCCATGAGGAAAAAATTTATGAACATTTCCATAAGGAAGCATGTGTCACTGAAGACTTAGTAAATTAAAAAAAAAATTAAGCAGCATTAAAAGACACATTCTCAGGACAACTACAAACATCTTGGCCTCATCGGTATGTGCTGAAGTAACACAACCAGTACTTCAAAATCTTGGGGATTCTGTGATTGCCTGGAGTATTTTCCATCCAAAACAAGATAGCAACCTGACAGATAAGAGAATTAGGGGTGGGGGGGGAGGGAAGTGTCTTATGGTAGTATAGCACCCCTGCCTAAGAAGCTCCAGATCCTAAATTCAAATAATTTACCACCAAAAATTTTAAAAGGGGGCAGGTTTAGTGGCTCAAGCCTGTAATCCTGGCTACTTGGGAAGTAGAAATGAGGGGATGGAGTTGGCAGACCATGATTTAAGGCCAGCAGGGCCTAAAAGTTCAGAGACTCAATCTCAACTAATGGCTGAGTGCTGGCAGACTGGTAGAGCACCTGTTCAGCAAGCATGAAGCTCTTGAGTTCAAAACCCAGTTTCAGGGGGGAAAAATACTATTGATTGAGGTCATCTCCCAAGGATGATATTGAGTAACAGAATGACAACTAGAGAGGTACAATTAAAACGTAGAACAGAGGGTAATCAGGTCAAGTACCAGGGTTAAAACTCCAAACAGAGAGAGGAAGACAGAGAGTCTTTTACTAAGGGACTAGCTAAACCAGAAATCTTGAGAGGGAAAGTGAGAAGAGTGGGTGATTCAAAAGACAGATACTCTGGTAATCAAATACCCTCTTACTTTCCCATCCAAAGTTGACAGAGACCTTCAAGTCACTTGGTACTTCTTCCCCAGCTCCAAAGTCAACCAAACGAAGCTTCTCAGCATATATATTTTGACAGTCCTTAAGGAACCAAGCATACATATTTAGAAAGGGAAAAACAGAGCCTGACAGTTACTTAACAGGGATGATCATCACCCTTGATATGCAAAACAGAAGTATGGGTATGATTAGTCAGGCACTGGTAGCTCACACCTGTAATCCTAGCTATTCAGAAGGCTGAGATCCAAGGACAATGACCTCTAATTAACTCACAAAAAAGGGAGAAGTGGACCTACTGCTCAAGTGGTACAGCAAGAGGCCCTAAGTTCAAGCCCCAGGACTGGCAAAAATTAATCAATCAATTAATTAATTAATTACATGGTAACCGATGAAGAAAGAAAAGGGAAAGAAAGAAAACAGGGATAAGACACAGACACAGAAAGAAAAACAAGCTAGCAAGAACTTTTTGGTCAAATGAACCAAACCAGAAGCAGCAGGTAAATGTGGTAAGTCTAACATGTGATCACAAACATCAAAGCAACAAATGTACTCAAGGTCTTAGCTGTTACTTCTGTTCACTAAAAACTGCTCTCCTGGAGCTTCTACAATGGAAGAAAGATGGAGGCAAGCTGCCTCAACTTAGGAGGAATTCAGCAAAAACAATTAACAGCTGCTGTCTCTGGAGCCTGAAGTAAGGCGATGACTTGGTAATGAGGAATCAAACCCAGGGCTTCATGCACGCTATGCAAGCATTCTACCACTAAGCCATATTCCCAGCCCTCCACCCTTCATTTCTTTGGTCTTTCTCCCATATATCTTATACATAAGGCCTCCCCTGACTACTCTTTAAAAATAGAATAACCTCATTCCCATCTTATCCTCCACTCTCCATCCTACTTCCTCTGCTTGCTTTCTTCTCAACTGTAGTATCACACCCGGGTATATTACACATGTATTTGCTTATATTGTATTTGTCTCTCACAAATGTGTTGTTGTTTTGATTTGTTTTTGTTTTTTTGTCGGTTGTGGGCCTGACTCTGGGTCTGGGTGCTGACCCTCAGCTCTTCAGCTCCAGGCTAGCACTCTACCACTTGAGCCACAGCGCCACTTCCGGCTTTTTCTGTTTATGTGGTGCTGAGGAATCGAACCCAGGGCCTCATGCATGCAAGGCAAGCGCTCTACCACTGAGCTTGGTTTGGTTTTGATAGCACTGGGGTGTGAACTCAAGACATCCCACCACTACTGGCGCCACACCACCAGCTGCTTCTCACAACTAGAATGTAAGCGCTGTGAGGGCAAACATTAATGAGTTCTATTTGGCTGAATGTAGACTACAACAGATTCCATACTTTTCATTTTTCCCTAATTGTGATATTGGGTCTGTGAACTGGAGGCTCCTGCAGCCCTACCTTCCCACCTGACTGACCTTCAGCCAGGAAGACACACAAGTGGGCCACTGTGCCCTGGTTTACAAAGTCAGCCGTGGAGAGCAGAACAGCAGAGAGGTAACAGAACTTCCCCCATTCCAACAAAGAAGCAGGAAAGAAATCAGATTGGCACCCATTTTCTCTTTTAAAATAGACTCCTCTATTTTAAAAGTGTACTGAATATACACCAGCTACTTTACTTCAATGAGATGTGCCTCGCTTGCAGTGCGATGGGAACTGTAGATACTGTAATAAAGGTAACGAAAAGTTGACCTAGTTTCTAGAACAATGTCTTATCTCTTCAACCACCAGAATAAATTTTGGTTTCTTACGATATAAGATTCCTAAAACAAAAATATTTCCACCCCATAAAGAGAAATTTGCTATTTCAGTCCAATATAGAACAACATATGATGCACACACACAAAAATTGGAATTTACTAGGGGAAAAGTCAATTCCCTTTGCTTTACTGTCAATTGTACCACATGAATATAATCAATTAGGAAATGTATGAGAATCTACATCTGACTATCAAAGTCATCTGAATTACTTAGATCAATTTTCCCAAATTGCAAATGTAATCCTTCATCTCAATGAAATAAACAATAATATCCTATGAATCAGAAAGTTGGGCTCGCTTTGGCAGTACATATATTAAAACTGGAATGACACAGAAAAGAATAGCATGGCCCTTCTGCAATGATGGCACACAAATTCAGGAAGCATTCCCTATTTAAAAAAAAAATCAGAAAGTTCTCCCCTATCTAGTGAATTCACCAGCAAAATACCAGGCTGGAGGTGTGGCTCAAGTATACTGGTTTTTTTTTTTTCTTGTCGGTCATGGGGCTTGAACTCTGGGCCTGGGTGCTGTCCCTCAGCTCTTCAGCTCAAGGCTAGCGCTCTACCACTTGAGCCACAGCACCACTTCTGGGTTTTTCTGCTTATGTGGTGCTGAGGAATCGAACCCAGAGCCTCATACATGCAAGGCAAGCACTCTACCCCTGAGCCACCTTCCCAGCCCCTCAAGTATACTGTTATAGTGCCAACAGTGAGCAGGAAAGCCAAGTGAAGGCAAGAAAGCTGAGGCCCCTGAGTTCAAGTCCTGGTATAAGCAAAGAAAAAAAAAAGTGGGAAGGGGGATGAAGTGGGTCTGACAGGGCTACATTATATGTATGTAGGGAAAGTCACAATAAAACACCCCCTTGTAAAACTAGTATGTGCTACAAAAAATATGAGAGAAAGGGAGGAATGGAAGGTGGGAGAGAAAAGAAGAAAAGAGAAGCAAGAGGAAGAAAGAGGAGAACAGGAGGGAGGGAAAAGGGGAAGGAAGAGAGAGAGGGAGGGAGGGAGGGAAAGAGAGAAGGAAGGATGGAAGGAAGGAAGGAAATCCCAGGCTGGAAGAAACCTACAAGTTTCCAGGCAAGGCTTTATCTAACACATACATGGCCACAGACTGGCTTTTCCACCTAGAAAAGTAGACCCTTTTTAGAAACACACTTTTCACAGGAAGCAGTGGTGAACCCACAATTTCTACATGTCTGTTTGTGAATGTCCATAAATAAGGGCTTCAAGTACAGAATGTTTCCTGAAAGAAGAAAAAAGAAGGAGAGAGCTTATTGCAAGAAAAAGGATAGCATAACCCTGCCTTGGTTTCTGTGTAATTGTTTCCTGTACAAGCACTTCTGACTAAATGTTACCTTACTAACTCCTAGTTGGACAAGCAAGACTTGGAAGTAAAGAATCTGTTCATGGGGGGGGGGGGGGGGGGCAGGGGGAGTCTGGGAAGAGATGGGAAGGGGAAACAAAGGTGGAGGCTACAATGCTTGATAAGAAATGTACTCATTATCTTGCCCATGTAATTGTAACCCCTCTGTTCAGTATTTTCACAATTAAAAAAAGAATCTGTTCAAAGTCAAGAAGAATAAATCCAAACCAAACTCTCTGAACCCATTCTCTGCTGAAAATTTTAAAAAATTACACTTGTGATGCTCGAGTTCTGCTTCTTATACATACAGAAAGTTAAGAGTAACTTGTATTGCAGGGTTTTTTGTCCTAAGTATCAAAGTCTTTGAAGAAATTATTGTAAGATATTTAGTGTAAAAAAATTACTGTAAGACCCTATTGTTGGTCTCCCCCCTCATCCCCCCCATACCCCCCCCCTCCCCGCCATTTATACCTCATTATAGCCATTCTCAAACTGCCAGTTTTGGACAACCCCACCCATACAACTCCACTACTAAGAAAACTTATTTTCCCCAATTGTAAAAATAAATGAATAAAACAAAGTTAGCAGAGAGCATGATGGTACAGGCCTATAATCCAAGCACTTGGGAGGCCCAGGCAGGAGTTCCAGACCAGCCTGGGTTACAAGACTGTATCCAAAAAAACAACTCAGGTTTTAAGATACTTTAAAGAACATTTCATTCAGCTGGGTGCTAGTGGCTCTTGTCTGTAATCCTAGCTATTCAAGAAGCTGAGATCTCAGGATCGCTGTTCAAAGCCAGCCCTGGAGGAAAAGTCTATGAGACTCTTATCTCCAATTAGCCATCAGAAAACTAGAAGTGGAGCTGTGGCTCAAAGTGGCAGAGCACTAGCCTTGCGCAAAAGAGCTCAAGGACAGCTCCCAGACCCTGAGTTCAAGCCCCCTGACCAACCAAACAAAAAACAAAAACTTTTCATCTAACAAACAATTGAAGTGTGAGTTCATTCATTCTAGGTATTACTATGAGTTGTACAATATTCTATGAACTTTACATATCACATCACTTCATTGTCATACCAGTCTTATATGATAGCTTAATCATATTATCCTAACTTTACAGACAAGGAAACCAAGGCAGAATGATTAAACAATGTGTGAGTCAGAGCAAGATGTGAACCCAGTATGGCACCAGCATCAATGCTTTTAGCTACTATGCTATGCTGTCTTCCTCACTTATTGATGGAACACTTAGCTTCAAAATTGCCTTTTCGGTTAGCATATTGATCACAAAATATATAAAAGCGAAACATTTGGAGCAAAATATTAATAATCTGTGTCTAGGAGAATGAAGGAGATACAGAGTTACTGCAAATTTGAAATAAAAATGTGTTCCATCTAAACTGTGAGCTGCTAAGGTATAGATATGACCTTTACATTCACCAGCTTTTATCATCATACAATGGGACATGTTTTGTGACAATCATGATCAAATTACCTATTGCTGAACAATGCATAATACTTTACCTATTGCTGAACAATGCATAATATTTTAAGAAAAGTCTTTGAGGGGCTGCGAAGGTGGCTCAGTGGTAGAGCGCTTGCCTTGCATGCCTGAGGCCCTGGGTTCGATTCCTCAGCACCACATAAGCAAAAAGAAAAAAAGCCAGAAGTGGCGCTGTGACTCCAGTGGTAGAGCGCTAGCCTTCAGCTGAAGAGCTGAGGGACAGCGCCCAGACCCAGAGTTCAGGCCCCACAACCAGACGCCCCCCCCCCCCCAAAAAAAAGTCTTTGAATCATTATGATGCCCCCACTATATGCCTGAATAAATATCCATACTAGTCCCATCAACCAAAGAACTCACTGGAAATAAAATGGCCCTAAAAATGGGTATCACATTTGTTCCTGAACTTAATAAAGCCAGGTCTTATTCTTGGTACTTAATATTTAATAAGTAACAACATGCAAATCCAAGCAAATTAGGGGGAAAATGTACATTAAACACACACACACACACACACACACACACACACACACACACACACACACACACACACACACACACACACACACACACACACACACTTAGCCAAGTGCCAGTGGTTTGCTCCTGTAATCCTATCTACCACAGAGGCTGAGATCTGAGGATCGAAGTTCAAATCCAACCTGGGCAAGCAAAGTCCATGAGACTCTTGTCGCCAATTAACCACCAGAAAACCAGAAGTAGTGGCCCGGTAGCTCAAGTCGTAGAGCACGCACCTTGAGCTGAAAAGCTCAGGGATAGCGCCCAGGCCCAGAGTTCAAGCCCCAGGACTGACAAAAAAAAAAAAAAAAATACATTTTATAATTAAATACAAAGTCACACTCTAATTTCTCTCTTGTAAGTCCCAACCAGAGCAGTGGTTCTAGCCTCCTCCAGTCTCCCTGCTCGGCTATGCCAATGCACTATTGGAAACCTTAAAAGCAGCTCCCTCTTTTAGGGCAAGTAATGTCTATTTCAGCTCATATGACACTTAACCCTTTTCCCTGAGGGAAGGGAACATGAAAAAAGTATTTGTAGCTATTCATATCCGAATTACCTAGAGTTCATTCCTTCAGGCAAGTTTCCTGTTACAATTATGACTCTAAATTATCCATGAAAACTTATTTTGGCCCTTAAATATATAAACATCCCAATATAGTTCATGAACAAATTCTGTAAAAGTTCCCTGGCTGATTAAAATATATATATGTATGTGTGTATGTGCGTACACGCGTGCGCGCGCACACATACATATATCAAGGCTGGAGATGTATTTAGTGGCAGAATGCTTGCCTGTAGTTTGCTCAAAGCTGTAGGTTAAATCCTTAGAACTAGGGATGAAAAATGATCTCAAACATGCTTTTTTTTTTTTTTTTTTGCCAGTCACGGGGCCTGAACTCTGGGCCTGGGCACTTACCTCAGCTCTTCAGCTCAAGGCTAGCACTCTACCACTTGAGCCACAGTGTCACTTCTGGCTTTTTCTGTTTATGTAGTTCTGAGGAATCAAACCCAGGGCCTCATGCATGCAAGGCAAGGACTCTACCAATGAGCCACCCTCCCAGCCCCTCGAACATGCTTTTTGAAAGGCTAGTGTCCCAAACTACCATTTCAAAACCTTTTTTTTTTTTTTTGCTGGTTGTGGGGCCTGAACTCTGGGCCTGGGCGCTGTCCCTTAGCTCTTCAGCTCAAGGCTAGTGCTCTACCACTTGAGCCACAGCACCATTTCCAGCCTTTACTGCTTATGTGGTACTGAGGAATCGAACTCAGGGCCTCATGCATGCAAGGCAAGCATTGTACCACTGAGCCACCTTCCCAGCCCTCCAAAAACTTTAGGGTTTTTTTTTGTTTCATTTCATTTTTTAGTGCTGGTCCTAGGGTTTGAACTCAGAGTTTGGGCACTCTGCACTGTCCCTGAACTTTTGTACTCATGGATAGTGCTCTATCACTTGAACTACAACTCCACTTCTGGCTTTTGGAGGGTTAACTGGAAATAAAAAGTGTCACAGACATTCCTGCCTGGGCTGGTTTTGAACACAATCCACAGATCTCAGCCTCCTGAGTAACTAGGACTACAGGGAGCCTGCAGAACTATGCCTTAAGTTTTTATTAGCAGGTGTAAAAAACCCCTCATTCCAACCAGGGCTGAATTCCTCCTTGCTGCTGCTCTTTTTGGCTCTCCTTAGAAAATGGCTATACTTCAGGTTTTCAGCAAATAGCTGCCTGTTCTCAAATGATCTAAGTAGGACCCTACTTTTCATACTGTTCTTTGGAATGACTGCCCAAAAAATGGCTAAAATTTAAAATCTTCCATTATTTTCAGAAACACTGCTTAAAATAGGAGGGAAGAGGTGTATAAAAGACTGAAACCACAGTCTACCATAAAAGTTTCACAATTACATGGAAAGATTATTAATTTATGTTGTTTTGCTTCCTGTCTCAACTTCCTCTCAAGCTTTCCATACAAGTCCTCACTGATTCCTATAAAGTGCCTAAATTAACTAAGGCTTACTGAACATCTCAGTACATATAAGATACTGAGACAGGTACTAAAAAGTATGGCTAAGACGGTACCTACACCCAAATGGCTCATAGTCTAGAGGGAAGAAGAAAATAAGACAATTTAAATACAGTTTGACAAAAAGCATTGTTTGCACTATTCCCACAAGGTGGTATCATTCCAAACCAAGTGGCTGAAATTTCTCTGGATGAAGAAATTCCACTTCGAGACAATTCTAGGAAGTCAAAAATTAAGAAAACAAGACTGGGGATGTAACTCAGTAGCATAGCACTTACCTAGCATGCCTAAGAGGCTGAGTTCAATCCCCAGCATTGCTAAAATAAAGATAGCAATGGCATGCACATTCTAAGATCTCTGTTCTAAAGATCAAAAAGAATATCCTTTCTAACATCCAGTTCCCAAGGAATTTAAGAAAAAATGAATCTTTTATATATACTGTATTATCCCAGCATCAGGAAAGGATAAGGGATAGCTAAGGGATTACTGACCGTACCTGAGTTGAAACACCTCTACCTCTAGCAAGGGTTCATTTTAGCTCTAGTTGTTATTTCCATCACTCTCTGGAGAATTACAGTTTATTAGTGAAGTCCACAGACATTGTAGTTAGTCAGATAAGGGTTAATCCTGGCCTTCACCATTTATAGGTGTTCAGATTTTTGCAAACCTCAAGTTTCTGAATCTCAAATTCCTTTTGTTAAAAAAAATGGCTGTGGTCACAAATTAAGTAAATATTTTATGCTAAATGCTTAACACATGGCAAAAACAAAAAAACAAAACAATGAAAGGGAGGGTAGGAACAGGAAGACCTGGTAGTAACTAATGGGACCATCAGGTACCCAAATAGAAAACAATGAATTATACAGAACTAATCATTTTGTTATTCCAATTGATAGTGATCTATGTCTAATTTATTTATATGCCTCCTATCTCACTCATCCCTAGAGAGCAACCACTTGATAAACTAAGATTGTATCGTAATTATGTGGCTCTTTTATTTTTTCCAAGATCTATAGTCGTCTCAATTTAATACTCGCTGAGAACATGTTCCAACCTCTCTGTCAACACTGAAATCATAAGAAAGGTACCAAAACTCAAGCCAGTCAAAAGAGATCCCCACCTGAAACACAGACCACACTACTACCTTGTTCACATAACAAAGAAACCAATAGTACTACATGGGAGGCATGCAAAGAAAGAAGAATCAGTACAACTCATACTTGTTTGTCATCATTTTTTTTTACCCAGTAATCAAAATGAAGAACAAAAAAAAAAAAAAATCACAAAATAAAAGACTTACTCATCTGCACCCCTTCCTATGATCCTTGAAAGAACCAGGGGAGGTGAAGTAAGTAGAAGACACATCTTCCATCTTATCACCCCAAAGGCTCTAAACTACACACCAGTCAAAACAATGCATTGGCTCATGGAAATAGTCCCGGACCATAGTTAATATGGTGTTCATTATAGCTACACAAAGCCCAGAGTTAAAGCCGGACCCAAATCACCATCACTCAGTCATCCAGAACCTATTTTCAAACTGCCTTTGTACTCCGCCTTCAGATTCTCTCATCCCTCCCCCTAAAGGCTGAGTGGGAAACAGTCTCGGGCAGCAACAAGATCAGTCCTCCAAAGAGCCAAGAACCCTCCCTAGGCTAGATGCAAGGCAGAGAACATTTGGAATAAAATTGGAAAAATATTAAACGAGTACTGTGTTTGTATGCCCAAATGGACACACAAATTCTTTTTCTTTTCAATTGCATGTTATGAGATCCAGACATCAAATTTTTCCTGTCGTCCTCGCTTAGATTATGTTCAGAGGAACAAAGTTCTGTTTCCACCAGAAGCCACAACCTCACAAGGATGAAATCATCCTTCGAGAAATGGTTTCACTCTAGAAAAGAGGAAGTGTTCTAGTCTAAAAAGAATAGAGGAAGGGAATATTGGATCAGAGGATTATTAAATAATACCTACTAGCTTAAAGCTAATGAGTAGCTTACATATCTTGTTCCAATTAAGGAGGTGTCTATTCTAGCTATAATTTTCAGATTGATTGGCATTTAAAAGAGAGAGAACACCCCAGCGTCCAGCTCCTGATGAGTTGGCTGTATAATTATCCAGAATCAGTACTTCTGCAAAAATGTACTTCTAAAAACCCCAAACAAATTCTAAGATGAAATATGACATATGAAAACAGTCACAGACTTTCAGTCCTAACAAGTGTTCTGATTTCAGTAAAATAACCAAAAGAAAAAAAACTCACTTCCAAAAAACAACTTTATACTTGGGTTTACAAATAAAAACTCCCCTTTGTGCTTTCTCAAATGCATTTTCAATACTGAAGTTTGCATGAAGTAGTTTCTTTCAGCTTAAACTTACATAGCCCACACCCACCCACCCAAAGATCACGGAGCTGAAAATATTTTCAGGTGCGTGGCCACTAAATACAGGAGAGAGAGAAAGCGTAATTAGAATTTTCCATCCCTTAAAGCACGTCAGTCAAATGTTACTGTATTTTCAGGTTTAATCTAACACATTCAGAAATCTATGCCACCAAAGGTGGTTTCAGGAGGACGATTTGAGGGCCAAAACAGTAAACACCGATCCATTTGTTTTCTTTCACAAAGCAAAGCAGGAGGCTAAGTCTCGGGCTAAAGAGGCTCCCCACCCACTGCACCTGGAAAAGTAAAAGAGGGACCCACCCAAGAACAGCAGGGTTGAAACGGATCTAGGCCGTTCAAACTCTCCCGGGGAGAAAAAAACAATACCACCAAAACTTCAAGCTCCCACCAACTTTTCATCTACACAAATCCAATAATAAAAAGGAGGAGAAAGAAATGAAAGTTTTGGAGCATAGGAAGAACCGTCTGTGAAACTTAGCTTCAGACTAGGATAAATTCTTCTCCCAACCCACACGCAACATGCCAAAAACATAACTTTTGATTTGGGTTCTACAAACAGAAGTATGTTAGCTTAATCCAGAAAATATAAATAAATGCAAAGAACACACAGAAATACTAATTTACACAACTTTTCTCTCTAATCCCTCCCTGTATTAGACCTAGAAGTTTGTTCCTAGGTCTTGAATATTTTACTTTTTCTTTTTCACACAGGATACCAAAATCCCGGATACCAAAATCCCAGATACCAAAATCCCTCCCAAAGTATAGAAAGTAGAAAGGAGAAAAAAAAAAAATCATTTCTTAAAAGCCACCCGTCAGCTTAACAGTCTCGCCCCTTTTTAAATTTCCTCCAGTTACCGTCAGGATAAATTCAACTTGGATTCTCCTCCTTCACCCTACACAGTTTAACAAAAAAAAAAAGAAAGAAAGAAAAGCACACACCTCAGATGTGGATTTCTAAAACCCAGTCCTTTAAGAACGAAACCCAAGGCTTCACCAATGTGCTGAGAAAGATAAATCCAGCAAGGCAGTTGGTTTCCGCCACCTCTTCCTCCTTTCAGGTCCTTTCCTGCTCTTCTTTCTCTCTCTCTCTCTTTCTCGCTCTCTCCCTCTCTCCCTCACTTTCACTCTCCCTCCCGCTCTCCCTCTCTCTCTCTTTTTTTTCCTCCTCAGATCCAACACCTAAAATGGAAGTTGCACCCAGCCAAAGGCAAGGGAGCCTGGGTGGTGACAAACTGATCTGGCAGCCCTACCCCCTCTCTTTCCTAAGTGATGTCAGCTTCTGCAAGCTTCCAATAGGAGCCAGGCATAAATCAGGGAGCTGACCTCATCCAATAGGAAACTTTATTATAGGAAATTAAAAAAAAGAGAGAGAGGAGGAGGAGGAGAGAAAGAGACAGGGGGAAGTTTGAGATATTTATTTATTTATATTTAAAGCGGAGTCTATACAATCTCTGAGGAATTCTTGCCGGGATAGGGTGTGGAGGTGCAATCGCACTTAAGCCTCTGCTCTCTTGGATAAGGAGGTTTTGCGCCCTCTCCTTACCTATGCAGGTGGAGAAAAGAGCTGCTTGTATTTGCTGCTGTTTGGTTTGCTGCTTTCTACCCCAAAGCACTTTCCCATAGGGAGAGCAGCAAAGAAGAACGGAGAAATCCTAGAAATAGATTTCTGGTGTGTTGATTGGATGTTAGGCAATATGTAAAGGAAACTCTCCGTGTCGTTGCTTTGGCTTAATTGAATTAGAGCTGGTTAGAAATAATTGTCCAGACTTGTTAATAGGTTTTAGTGTCTATATACTACGAACTAGAAGAGAGTAGAATCCACTGGACTGTAAAATCATTGCCTGCCTATTTACCCAGAAATCAAAATAATGTGCACTTGTCAGGGACAGTAAATGAAATCCAAGATATGAACAATAGATTCAGAGTAGATAACAACATAAGTAAAGTAAGTCTTACAACAACAATTGATTTCCTTCTGAACTTCAATTTTAAAGATATCTGGTTTGTAAATTCTTTTTTTTTTTCTTTTTTCTTTTTGTTTTTACAGTTCTGGGGCTTGAACTCAGGGCCTGGGCACTGTCCCTGTGCTCAAGGATAGCACTTGAGCCACAGCGCCACTTCTGGCTTTTTCTGTGTATGCAGTACTGAGGAATCAAATCCAAGGGTTCATGCGTGCTAGGCAAGCACTTTACCACTAAGCCACATTCCCAGCCCTGGTTCATAAATTGTGTGTGTGTGTGTGTGTGTGTGTGTGAGTGTGTGCCTATCCTAGGTCTTACACTCAGGGCCTAGGCACTGATTTTTTTTTTTTTCCTCTCAAGGCTAGCACTGTACTACTTGAACCACAGCTCTATTCCAGCTTTTTGCTGGTTAATTGGAGATAAGAGTCTCATGGACTTTCCTGCCCAGGCTGGTTTCAAACTGTGATCCTCAGATCTCAGCCTCCTGAATACCTAGGATTACAGATGTGCCACCAGTGCCCAGCATAAATTCTTTTTCATTTGACCTAAATAAAGGATTACAGGGGTATCCTTCTTTTCAGGCAAAAAATATTTTGACATATCTTTAGACAGTTGCTGGTTTTTGTTAGTGTGGGTTGTTTGTTTGTTTGTTTGTTTTTAAACAAGCTTAACAAATGCTAAGGTGGGTTGAGGGTGGGTTGTTTTTTGTTTGTTGTTTTGGTTGGTGGGCAATGGCTTTTTAGAACAGGGGTTCACTACATTAACCCAGTCTGGCCTTGAACTCATGATCCTTGTGCCTGAGCCAACAAACTGCTAGAATTATAGGTATATGCCACCACTCTCAGAAAAACGAGTATTTTATAGTTGATAGTTACTCACTGATTACTAAATAAGAATGATAATGATGAGTTAGAAGGCTTCTTTTTTTTTTGCTAACTGTAAAATCTAAAACCTATCCTGGGGACTGCTGCCGGATTAACCTTCATAAAGTTTTCATAACTTAGAATATGGTTGAGAGCATAGGTTCCGCAGTCAGACTGCCTGGCTTCAAATTACTCCTCTGTAAACACTCTCATTCAACTAGTGACCTTGGCTAAATTATATAATATCTCTGAGGCTCAATTTTCCTAACTTTATGGGGATAATAATGTATCTTTCTCCCAAGGCTATTTCAGGAATTAAAACGTACAAAAGTTTGTGTGCATGTGAGTGTGTGTGTGCGTGCGCACATAGGTATCAGGGATTGAACTCAGGGCCTCTCGCTCTCCCCTGGCTTTTTTTTGCTCAAGGTTGATGCTATACCATTTGAGCCACAGCTACACTTGCAACTTTTTGGCGGGTAATTAGAAATAAGAGTCTCACAGACTTTCCTGCCTGGACTGGCTTCAAATCTTGAGCCTCAGATCTCAGCCTCTGAGTAGCTAGGTTTACAAACATGAATCACCAGCACCCAGCTTTATATTTCATATTTAAAAACAGCCGAATGAGTGAATAAAGTGCTCTTTCCTTAGTAGTTAAATAATCCTGAACCAATCATGTAACATAAAAGAATACGTAACATTCAAATTAAAGTCAAAGAAATCACAATTTGTAAGTACACGGTGAAAAAATGTTAAAATCTAAATATAATCTTGTTATTTAAATTTAGACTGGCTTCATATAAAACATCACAATCATTGGTACTCACTGAAAGATAAACTATATATAATGTTAATTGAAAAACACAATAGGAGCCCTGAGCTAGTGGCTCCAATCTGTAAACCTACCTAATCAGGAGGAAGAGATCTTAGGATGATAGTTTGAACAAACCCAGGCCCAAAAGTCTGTGGGACTCTTAGCTTCTACTATCAAGAAGTGAGCTGTAGCTCAAGTAGTAGAATGCTAGCCTTGAGCCAAAAAGCTGTGTGTAGTGCACAGGCCTTGACTTCAAGTCCCAGCACACACACACACACACACACACACACACACACACACACACACACACACACACACACACACACACACACACGCATTTTACTTGAGCTATTTCCAGTACCTGCTGTGAGCCAGGTTCTCTATGAAATGTCAAGGATAAGTAGAGAAGTTCCTGTAACATTTTGAGATGAAAGAGCAGATAAGTAAATAAGATAGTAGTTGGGACATAGCTGAGTCATTGAGTTCATGCTTAACATGGTCCAGGCTCTGAGTTTAATCCCCAGTACCAAAACATAAAAAGAGAATGTCATTTGGAACATTATCTAACATTAGATTTAAAGTAGACTGATGACAATGACTTATGGTCCATCCTAGAGAGGATGTTAGAAACAAAATCAGTCTGTAATCCTGGCCACTCAGGAGGCTGAGATCTGAGGATCACAGTTCAAAGCCAGCCCTGGCAGTAAAGTCCATGAGACTCTTATCTCCAATAAACCACCAGAAAACCAGAAGTGAGGCTGTGGCTCAGCAGTAGAGTGCTATCCTTGAGCTGAAGAGCTGAGGGACAGCACGCAGGCCCAGAGTTCAAACCCCACAACCAACTGGGGGGGTGGGGAGGGGGGGAGAAATAGAGAGAGAAAGAGAGAAGGGGAGGGAGAGAGGGAGATCTGACTATGAAGCCCAGGCTGGACTGGAACTCCTATTCCTCCTCTGCCCCTGAAGTGCTGGGATTATGGGCACATAGCAGCACAATAAGCTCTGATTCTAGTTCTAAAATAAACTGAAGAAATGAGGAAAATTCAACTTCAAAAAACCCTGGCTATCTATACAAAGCATTTTTACTCATTTTTACTCTTTTCTACCCTCTGGTGGCTACATGTCCAAAGTTGGTTTTGTTTTTTTCTTTTTTTTTCTTTTTGGTGTGTGTGTGTCCTTGTCCTGGTACTTGAACTCAGGGCCTGGGTCCTTGAGCCTCTTTGGCTCAAGGCTAGCATTCTACCACCACTTGAACCACAGTGCCACTTTGGGCTTTTTCTGGGTAATTTATTTGAGAAGAGTCTTACAGGCTTTCCTGTCTGAACAGATTTCCAATGGCAATCCTCAGATCTCAGCCTCCTGAGTAGGATTACAGGTTGAGCCACCAGTGCCCAGTCAAAGTGTATCATTTTTTTTTGAAACCTTGAAGAGAACGGCCATTTATCATTCTCTTTAGAATTTCTACCAACACAAGTAATGGTATTCAATTAAAATAAATAAACAAATAAAAAGGCGGAAGTAGAGTTGTGGCTCAAGTGGTATAGTATTAGCCTTGAGCAAAAAACTAAGGGACAGACAGCACGGAGCCTTTGAGTTCAAGCACTAGTACAGACAACAGGAAAAAAAAAAAAAAGAACTAAGTCCTCTCTCCACTTTCTGAAAATTATAAAAATAATAAATAAATCATAAAAAATAATAAGCCATAAAATAATTAATCAAAGCTAGGCACTAGTGGCAACTGAGCTACAAGGCTATTAGGCTCCTAGGTACTCAGGAGGCTGAGATCTGAGGTTCACCATTCAAAGCCAGCCTGGCAGGAAAGTCTACGAGAGTCATCTCAATTAACCAACAGAAAAACCAGAAGTGAAGCTGTAGCTCAAAGTGGTGGAGCACTAGCCTTAAGCAAAAAAGCACAGAGACAGCACACAGGCCCTGAGATCAAGCCCCACAACTAACAATAATAACAACAACAATAATAATTGTTATAGGATATAATATTTATATTTTCTAGGACATAATATTTACAATTTCCTTATACTTGCACAGAATCATCTATATTCTAGAGACACAGAGGCTACACACAAGTATTGTTCTGCATGTGTTTGCCATGACTGCTGACAACATCTAAAATCTGTCCTCCTCCTGCTAAATTTTATGTCATTTCACAAATTGCTTCCTCTTCAAAAATATGACAACTGCAACTAAAAGTTTCTTTTGTTCCTTGTTTCCTTTTTCATCAGACTGGAGGCATGGCTCAAGTGACAGACTGACAGACTGCCTGCCTAGCAAGCACAAGAGCCTAAGTTCAATACCAGTACAACCATCACCACTATTACCATCAGGGAAAAAAAAAAAAAAAAGGCCAGGCGCTGGTGCTCACACCTGTAATCCTAACTACCCAAGAGGCTGAGATCTGAGGATCGCTTTTCAAAGCCAGCCCGAGAAGGAAAGCCCATGAGACTCTAAGCTCCAATTTAACCACCAGAAAGCCAGAAGTGGTACTGTGGCTCAAATTGGCAGAGCACTAGCCTTGAGTGTAAAAGTTCAGAGACAGCACTTAGGCCCGTGACTTTAAAAAAAAAAAAAAGTTTCAAACTAGAAAAA